CGTGTGACCTGCACCAGGCAAGGCCGGTGGCACCTGCCAGGAGGGGAAGGTCTCTTCTCCAAGCCCGGGGCCCCTGACCCTTTCCCCTTAACACCAGGGAGCCCTGTGCCCTGCACCTTTGACACAGCTGTCACAGGCGGACACTCGCAGCACCAGGCACAAGCCTGTTCCTCCGTGACCTGCACCAGGCAAGGCCGGTGGCACCTGCCAGGAGGGGAAGGTCTCTTCTCCAAGCCCGGGGCCCCTGACCCTTTCCCCTTAGCACCAGGGAGCCCTGTGCCCTGCACCTTTGACACAGCTGTCACAGAGGCGGACACAGAATGCACAGACCCACACGTCCGGGTGACGACCAGATGGCGTCAGCGGACACAGGACATCAGCTGACACTTAACCCTTCCCAAGGGCTGGGCGATGTCCCAGGTGCTTTACATACATGATCTCCTTTAAACCTCACAGCGTCCCTCGCTCCTCCCATCCTGCCCCCACACTGAGGCGCAGGAGGCGAGGTGACTGCACAAAGACGGAGCGAGGAAGTGGCAGAGTTGGGACTCAAACCCAGGCTCCCTGCTCCAGAGCCACGCACAGCTGCTCATGACCGGGGAGGAGAACGCAGCCCGCGGTCACAGAGAGGGACACAGAGTCCCACCTGCCACGCGTGGTCAGGAGGCTGAAACACCAGCAGACACCACTCCATCGGGAAGCTCAAACATAGAGCGGCCCAGACCAGAGGCCACAGACGCAGCCTGTCTCTCAGCCCCTACAACCCCCAGGCCACACTGTCACTCCTGACCCAGTCACCAGCCCCACTGTCACTCACAGCCACACTGTCTCTCCCCCTCAGGCCGAGACCTGTCTGTCTCGCTCAGTGGGGCATGGAACTCCCAGGTCTTCTCCCCAGGCTACTCCTTGCCCTGCCCCCCTTCCTTCCACGCACCCTGCACCCCTTCCCTCCATGCACCCTGCACTCCTTCCTTCCATGCATCCTGCACCCCTTCCCTCCATACAACCTACACCCCTTCCCTCCACACACCTTGCACCACTTCCCTCCATACAACCTATACCCCTTCCCTCCACACACCCTGCACCCCTTCCTTCCACGCACCCTGCACCCCTTCCCTCCATGCACCCTGCACTCCTTCCCTCCACGTACCCTGCACCCCTTTTCTCCACACACCCTGACC